CTCGGCTTGTTTTACATTAGCTCAGTGGCTGCTTCATCAACCGAGCCAGGAAGTCGCCGTAGTGAGTCAGCTAACAAGACCATCTTTTTTTTTTTAATTTAGAGTTATTTATTTTATGAATATGAGTGTTTTGCCTACTTGTTTTGCAACATGTGTGCCTGATGCCCACAGTTGTCAGAAGAGAGGTTTGAATGCCTTGGAACTGGAGTTACAGATGTGAGCCATCATGTGGGTCTGGGAACCAAAACTGGGGCTTCTACACGCACAGGCTCTCTTAACCGCTGGGTCATCTCTCCAGCTGTTTGTGTGTGGGGTGTGTGTGTGTGCAGGTGAGTGTGTGTGTTTTGTGTGTGTGCGTGCAAGTGAGTGTGGACATGAAGACTAGAGGACAGCTAACATTCCTCAGGAGCAGTCCATCTTGTTTATTAAGACAAGGTCTCTCATTGGTCCAAAACTCTTTGAGAAGTCTAGGCTGCCTGGCTAGTGAGCCTCTCTCACCTCCCTAGAACTAGGATTGTAAATGTTTACCTCACCTTTAATTCAGGTTCTGGGGCTCAAACTCAGGTCAAGCACTAGACAAACTAAGCTGTCTATTCCGCCCAAGACAGCCATGTGTAATGTAATCATTACACATAAGACATAATGGTGACATCCCATATTGTGTAGTTTACATGCCAAGTCACAGGTTCTTCCCATAGGCAAAGGAAGGAAACAAGGCAGGAAAGGACCACTGAACGTCAGTTCCACCCGCCAGTACATTAAAGGGCACCACAAATGGCACGAGGCTGTATGTGATAAGGGGAGTGCTTCGTCAAACTTGTTTCCATCGTTTCTACCAGAATCTAAGCTCATGCTTTGTGCACAGATTATACATGAGAAAAGAGAGAGCTCACTCAAGTGGATGGCCCATGAAGAAGGGGTGGCTGTGAGGTGGGCTAGGGAGATGAGGCTGGAGTGTCAGGTGGAGCGAGAGTTGGGAGACGGAATCAACCAGAGGAGGAATCAGTGAGAAGCGGTAAAGATAATGGGTGATAGATATGGCGTCAATGGGGGTGGTGTCAATCAGCTCAGTCAGTGAGGGCTGAAGTCAGATGAAGATGGAGTCATGAGATAAAACCAGAGCAGAAGGAGGGGCTAGATTAAGAGCATTTGCCGATCTTGCAGAGGACCAGAGTTGGGTGCCCGGTGCTCATATGGCTGATGATAACCATCTGTAATTCTGGTGTGTGGTTGAGGAGGTCGTTCTGAGGCCCTCTTGGCTTCCACAGTGGTACACATACACATACATACATGAGGTAAAACCCTCATACATATAGAAATAAGTCTTTAAAAGTGCTAGGCTTAGGTCTGACTGTGGTGGTACACACCTTTAATCCCAGCACTCTGGAGACAGAGTATTTGGGGCATAGATGTTTGGTATTGAGGTTTCCTCTTGATGGATTTTTCCTGTGACTAATATGATATGTCCTTCTTTGTTTCTTTTGATTGATTTTAATTTGAAGTCTATTTTGTTAGATATTAGGATAGCTACACCAGCTTGTTTCTTAGGTCCATTTGATGGGAAAATTTTTTCCCAACCCTTTACTCTGAGGCGATGTCTGTCTTTGAGGTTGAGGTGTGTTTCTTGTATGCGGCAGAAGGATGGATTCTGTTTTTGTATCCAATCTGTTAGCCTCTGTCTTTTTATAGATGTGTTGAGTCCATTTATATTAAGGGATATTAATGACCAGTGTTTGCTATCTCCTGTTAATTTAGTTTTTGTTGGTGGTGATGTTAATTTGTGTGTTTTTTCCATCTTTGGGATTTGCTGCTGTGAGATGATCAATTATCTGTGTTTTTGTTGATATAGCCAACTTCCTTGGGTTGGATTTTTCCTTCTAGTACTTTGTGTAGGCCTGGGTTTGTGGCTTGGTATTGGTTAAATCTAGTTTTGTCATGGAATATCTTGTTTTGACCTTCTGTGGTGATTGAAAGTTTTGCTGGCTATAGTAGTCTGAGCTGGCATCCGTGGTCACTTAATGTCTGCATAACGCTTGACCATGACCTTCTTCTGGCTTTCATTGTCTCCAATGAAAAGTCAGGTGTAATTCTGATAGGTTTACCTTTATATGTTACTTGACCTTTTTCCTTTGCAGCTCTTAATATTCTTTCTTTATTATGTATGTTTAGTGTTTTGATTATTATGTGGCAAGGGGACTTTTTTTTTTTGATCCAGTCTATTTGGTGTTCTGTAAGCTTCTAGTATCTTCATAGGCATATCTTTCTTTAGGTTGGGAAAGTTTTCTTCTATGATTTTGTTAAATATATTTTTTGTGCTTTTGAGTTGAGCTTCTCCTTCTATACCTGTTATTCTTAGGTTTGATCTTTTCATGGTGTCCCATATTTCCTGGATATTTTGTGTTAAGCTTTTGTTAGATTTAATGTCTTCTTTGACTGATGAGTCTATTTCCTCTATTGTGTCTTCAGTGCTTGAGATTCTCTCTTCCATATCTTGTATTCTGCTGTTTATGCTTGTGTTTGTGGTTCCTGATTGTTTTTTCATGATTTCTGTTTCTATAATTCCTACAGCTTGTGTTTTCTCTATTGTCTCTATTTCAGTATTCAAGTCTTGAATAGGTTCTTTCATATGTTTGATTGCTTTTTCTTAGTTTTCTTTAAGGGATTTGCTGATTTCTTCCAATTTTTTGTTTGTCTTTTCCTCCATTTCTTTGAGGGAATTTTTCATTTCCTCTTTAAGAGTCTCAGACATTCTCCTGAAGTTATTTTTAGGTCATTTTCTTCTGATTTATCTCTATTTGGTTTTTCAAGTCTTACTGTTGTAGGGTCTCTAGATTTTACTGGCATTGTGTTGCTCTTTGTGGTGTTACACATGTTCTTACCTTGTCTACTCATCTTTACCTCTAATTGGTGTGGTTGGGGCTGTCTGTGACTCTGGAGATTAATCTTTTAGGTGCCAGTGGATCCAAGGCTCAGATGGTTGTTCCTCATGGTACAGTCAGTGCCACGGTTCTAGTACCCCATTGATCACTTCATATTCCTGAAGGTGGCTCAGCACTCCTGGGGTTTGTTCAGCTCTTGTGGAGTTTGCTGTCTCAGGCCTGCTCTGGCCTAGGTTGCCAGCTCAGACCTGTTTCTATAAATATCCCTGGACTGGATCCGCTTCTGCAGAGGTCTCTGGCTTGGGGTTCATCCTACCATGGTCTCTGGCTCTGATCTACTCCTTCGGAGGTCCCAGACTTGGGTGCACCTAGACCTGCAGAGGACCTGGCTTAGCCCTACTCCCTCAGAGGTCCCAGACTCAGGCTCAGACCCACAGGGGTCCTAGCTCAGGTCTACTCCCTCAGGGGTCCCAGATTCATGCCCGGACCCACAGCAGTCTCTGGCTCTGGCCCACTCGCTCAGCGGTTGCTCCCCTGTACCTGCTCCTATGCAGTTCACTGTCTCAGGTCTGCTCCAGCCCAGGTCGCTGGCTCAGTCCTGCTCTTGACATTTTCTTTTTTCTTTCCAATTTTATGTGTATGTATGCTTGTGTTTTTGCACATGTGTAGGCCCACCTATGTGCATGTGGAAACCTGAGGCTGATGTTCCAGATGTCTTCTTTGACTGCTTTTCCATCTTATGTTCTGAGGCAGAGTCTCACTGAACCTGAGACTCACTGATTCTAATAGGCTGCATGGTCATCGAGCCCCAAGGATCCTCCTGTGTGCCTCTCTAGCAATGGAATTATAGACGCACACCTAGCTTTTAAGGTGGGTGCTGGGGATATGATCCCAGGCCCTCATGTTCACATGGAAGTACTGTGCTGACTGAGCTATCTTCCTAGGCCCTCAGTACATTTTGAATGCATATGCCTTGGGAGGGTGCTGATTCAGGAAGGCTTTCTAGAAGAAGTGATGTCTCTATGTACATGGCTAAATCATAGAGTCGAATTTAATTAGTTGAGGCTGCTGGTATAAGAGCGTGGGCAAAGACCTATTTGTTCAATATTTGACCACACTCCTGAGGCCCCCTCACACCATCTACAGTAGATACAGAAGAGAGAATGGGTGCCTTGACTTAGACTTCCAAGGGAGAGTGGTAAGAATTAAAACCGGAAGGAGTCCTGGTCAACCAGGTTTGCCCTCTGCCTGGAGTAGCTGAGTGGGCAAAAGAGGGGTGGGATGGCCTGTCAGAAGGCTGGTGACAGCAGTTCAGGAGAGAGATGTCTGTGGCCTCGGTGACAGCTGTAAGAACTGATCCCCACCCCCACCCCAGGAAACTTACTTTTGACTCCAACCAGAGGCAGTAGAGGTCTCTTGGGTTAGGATTGCAATGAGTCCAGGACTCTAGTGGAAGTCCTCGTGCCCCCCCCCCCATGTCCTCCTTTGGCTCCTGGAGAGGAAAACTTACTTTTCTTTGTGGAGTTGACCCTGGAATGCTTTTGCCTCCCAAGTCATCTTGGGCTCTTGCCAGGATCCACTTGCATGGGACTGGCTAGGAATTATGTTATCAACAAACCTCCGATGTGCTTGTCTGGGAGGGCCTAGAATGTTTTTTGTTTGGATTAGTATTGGAAAGGTAGGCACAGGCTAACCTCTCCCTTTGGATCATCTGGTCCCTGTCGCTGTGACTGTCACCTAGGAACTCAGGTCACTGAATGAGTAGGTGGCCAAGTGACTTCTATTTACCTTTGAAATTCCTGGAAATTGGAGTCTCAGGAGAGTGGGGTGGGGCCCATAAGTAGATACACCCATCATCCCTTTATTTTAGGTCTGGGCAGCTTGTGTCCTGGGATACCTCAGAGGTGGCATTGCTCTTAGCTGTCCACACAGCAAATGCCAATCTGAGCCATTCCATCAGGGCCCAGAAGAAAGAAGCTGCCAGAGAAGGGCTCCACACAGAATAAAGTCCTGGACATGATTGGTCCCCAACCAGTCAGAGGCTTTGTGCAGATGGATCCTTCTAGCTGTCTGATGGGAAGGCTATTCGTGTGGAATTAAGAAGCCAAATTTTCAAAGTCAGAATGTTTTAGAAAGATTTATTTTTATTTATGTATGTGTGTATGTGTGTCCATGTGTATGTGTACATGCGTGTAACTACATGGAAGTGGCCACAAGAGAGAATCGGATCCCTGGAGCTGGAGTTGCTGGGAGACCCTGGGAACAAGCTGTGGTCCTCTGCAGGAGCAGTGAGTGCTCCTAACTTCTGAGCCATCTCTCCAGCCACTAAGCTGAAATTTGAGAAGTGCACACAGTTACCTCTTTTTCTCATTTTTTCCCTTTTATATTTTATATTCATGTTGCCCAGGCTGGTTGCCATTAACCCTGAACTCCTGTTCCTTCTGCCTCTACCTCCCAGGAACTGGGAATTATAGATGAACACCATTACTTAGGGGTTTTGTTGTTGTTGTTGTTGTTTGTTTGGGGAGGGTTGTCTTTGTTTTGTTTTGTTTTGTTTGAGACAGAGTCTTGCCATGTAGCCCGAACTGGCCTCAAACTTGGAGTTCTAATTCAGGGGCTGGGATTCCAGGTATGTGCCACCACACAGCCCCTGGTTTTTAGCGCGTGAAGTGTCAGGGCACAGCACGGCACACAGGTGTGTTTCCCATAAAGTCTAAGCAGGAGCAAGTGCCACAGTGAGAGGAGCTCCGGGGCCAGCCGTTCCTTTCGAGAAGAGAATGCCGACTGGGTTGTCAGCAGCACCTCTGAAGCTTCATGGTAAACAAACGCAAGCTTCATTATCATTTTGTTTTCTATTGTTAAAAAAAAAATAACAGGGCGCTGAAAACACACAGAGAGCTTCGAGTCCAGGGCTCACCCTGCGTTAGGCAAAGTAGCCCCAGAGGAAGATGGCACAGCAGATGCACACCAGGCAATTGACGTCCAGCAGGGTCTTCACCAAGGGGTTTTCCTCCAAGGAAGCTATAACAGGTTCCACTTTGTTTGGGGGATCCTCTTTGTCCCTGGCCATTCCACAGAGCCACAGGATAGCCTTCAGCACCTTGGACTGCTTGGGGGTCACATCGTCTAGGAAGAACCCAGCAAAGGAAGGTCAAGAGGAGGAAGAGGATCGACAACGTGTGTTCATGAACTGAGACATGGAATCGCTGTTGTTGTGGGAGGCATAGTCAGCCTTCTGTACTTGGAGATCTAATTGAATGTTAATCAGGAGTACTCAGAGGAGTGCAGATCTTTTCATCATTCCTCCCTAACAATTCAGTGTAACAGCTACTTACACAGCACCGACCTCACATGGGATGTACAAGATGGTTCAAGTACACAGGATGTACATAGGATATATGCAAATACTGTGGCATTTGTGGGTGCACGTGTGTAGGGGTACACATGTGTTGCCTGCATGTGAACCAGAGGACAACCTCATGTCATTCTTCAGAAGGTGTCTTTCTTTTTTTTTTTCCTTTTGCCTGGCTCGACCTTCCAGGTGCTGGGATTACAAGCACATGCCACCATGAGCCTGCTGCTTTTTTCTTAACATGAGTTTGGGGGATCAAATTCAGATCTTCATGCTTTCAAGGCAAGCACAGCTGTCTTGCCAGCCCCTACTTTGCCATTTCATACAAGGGGCTTGAATATCTAGAGATTTTAAGTACCCTTGTGGGTCCTGGGATCAGTTTCTTTCAGACACTGAGGAACGGCTATATCCATTAGTACCTTAAGTCTGGAAGAGTATCACTGCCTTCAGATGAAGAAATCCAGGCTAACACTAACTTTAGCAAAGCCACATAGCAGGTCAGTAGTGACTGAGGTGGGCTTAGGACCCAGCTCTGCTTCCCCTCTGTATCACAATGTCTTCCAGGAGGATGAAGGACTTGGGATGCTTTTGTGAAATTCTGTTTCTCTGTGTGCAGCCTGGGCTTACAGGAATCTGGGCAGCTGAGTCAGGGGAAGCCAGTTAACACATTGAATATTGTGACAGTCTCTTCACCTCTATGAAGAAATATGCTCACCTCAGGTTTTAAAACATGTGACCTGTGAGTCTTAGCACTTTAGACTTTGCTATAAGGGACAACATCTAAATTATTCTTGTACATTACATATGACACTTCTGCTGGCCACAAGCAGCTAACCTAAAAATTAGGACTGTTTCTAAGACATGACTAGCCGTGTTTTAAAAATTAAATATTATATATATATATATATATATATATATATATATATATATATATATAAAATGTGATCTGGAGTTTCCTGTTTTCCAGGCTGAATGACCGAGCATGTGTGAGACCCTTGGTTCAATCCCTAGCACTGGGGGGAAAAAAGGCTCAAGAAAAAATATCCATGGAGTTTTTTACCTTGAGTTGACATAGGTTAGTATCCATGGTATTTTTTAATGGTAATCAAATCTTCATACCATGGAGATAGCTTTGCCGCATCAACATGGAAGCCTGGTGTCCCCGATTTTCCCATCGTTCAAGAGATGGAAATTTAGAAATCTCATGTGAAATCTCCAATAAAATGTTAACTCATATTTTATAAAGTGAGCTAAACTGAAATAAGTGATTTTAAGATTGCGGTGGGGCTGCAGCTTATGGTATAGCCTTGCATGAAGTCTTGCTAGGCTCTAGGTGTACTGTTTGTATGTCTCTGGAGAGACCCATCTGGTAGGCAGGGAAGGCATCAGAGCCAGGGGATGCTGGATTTCAAAGCCTTTCCCCTTTTCTGGATGTTGATCTAGCAGAATCTTCCCTGAATGCATAATGTTTCAGAAGCTCACCTATACCCGAGACCAGAAACAACTCACCACTATGGGCTTTGCTCTTAGTCTCTTCAACTGTCTCCAACTGGATGCTGGTGGCCTCTGTAGTCCCATTCAGAGGAAGGGTCGGAGACAGGGGGGTTGCAGGTGGCAATGGGTCCTTCTGGACCACAGGGTCATGACGAGTAAACCAAGTCAGACGGCTGACCTGAGAAACAGAGGTAACTCTGAGACACAGATGGAAGCTGCGTTTTTTTTTCTTCCCTTCTCTTGACCCAGCATCCACCTCAGCCTTCATGTTGAACACTGCTCATAGTGCCTTCCCCTCCAAGCAGCATCAATTCCCTCCACTCCTCAGAGTCCATGGCTGTACCTCTTGCTGCTCCTCTGCCCTCTGATAGCTTCCTCTCACTGGTGTCTAACTGCCAGGCCCTAGGGTACTGTGTGAGTCACCAGACTGGCCCTTCAGTTCAGCCCTTCTTCTGGTTCAAGGACAAGGTTGCACATGAGCTGATTGGAGCTGCTAAGAACCAGGATGAGGAATGCTTATGACTTTACTTAATGGTGTTAAAAAAAAAGGGGGGGGTTAGGGGAAGGGGCTCAGCCCTTGGAACTCCTTGGCTCCCCGTGGGCTTGGGAATTGAAGCAGAAGTGAGAAATGGGGTCTGATGACCTTTTCTGAGTTCTGCATCGATATGTCCCCAAAGTCCCACTCTGGACTTTCTGAACATTCAATTGTCTTGTTTAAACCCGGAGTCCCTGTTCTGTCACTTTTGATGAGTCTCAGAGGCAATGCCCGTCAACCCAAATGTACCATCTCTCTGGAGGGCGTCTCTGTGAAGCAGCTCACGGTGAACACAGTGATGAGGGTGGCAGAAGACAGAATCATGGAGAAGTAGAGATAGTGGACGTCCTTCACCACCGACGGCCGCTCATCGGGCTGGTCACACCGAGGCTGCACGTAGACAAAGTCCAGGACCAGCCTGACCAATCCTAACAGCAGACCCAAGACTAGACCTGAGAAGGCACCCTGCAAACCAGAGCAAAGCCATCTTAGGGACACCGAGGACAGCAAAACTTGAAGAAGCCGTTTCAAGAGTCTGTCTTTCCCACGATGCTCACTCCATTGCAAAGATTTGGAGCTATGTACCTGTTCATCTTCTACAAATACAGTCATCCTTTGGTATCATAAAGGATCTGTTCCCGGGCCCATAGATAGCAGAGTCCACAGTTGCCCATGTCCCTTGTATAGAACAGCAAAATGTTTGCACATGGCCTGTGCATACCCACCTATATGCTCTGTTAGATTACATATAGTACCCAGTGCAATGTGAATATTGTGTAAATAGTTGGTACATTATATTATTTAGAGCAGTGGTTCTCAACCTTCCTAACGCTGCGACCCTTTAATACAGTTCCTCATGTTGTGGTGACCCCCAACCATAAAATTATTCTCTTTGCTACTTCATAACTGTAATTTTGCTATTGTTACGAATCTTAATGTAAATATCTGTTTACTGGAGGTCTTGGGCAACCCCTGTGAAAGGATCATTCAACTCCCAAAGGGGTCATGACCCATAGGTTGAGAACCATTGATTTAGAGGTTACCATCAGGGAAAAAACTCTGTACTTGCTCAGGAGGAACATGGCTTTTTTTCTTTTTTTTCTCTCTAAATATTTTCACTCTGCTGTTGGTTGAGTCCGGTTGAGCTTACAGCAGATGTAGATGCCCAACTAGAGTGAACTGATTACACTTGGCACACTCATTCCCTTCTACTCTGGCTTCTCTATCAATGGCAAGAGTGTGTCATGAAGCCGAGTATGGTGGTTAAAATCAGTGACACCCATGCTCAGGTGTGAAGATTGTGAGTTTGAGGCCAACCTGAGTGTAATGGTTAGTTTTGTCAACTTGAGCCTGAGAAAGGAGGCTCAGTGAGGGACTGTCTTGACCAGGTTTGTCGGTGGTGTCCCCCTGCCTGGGGAAGGATTGTCTAGATGTAGGAAGACTCAGCCTGAAAGTGCAGCGCTATTCCCTGCTCTGGGGTCCTGGGCTGTGTTAGCCTGGCTAGTCCTGGGCTAGCTGAACACTCAGCATGTTTGCATCACCCTCCCTGTGGTGGTTTGAAGGAAAATGGTCCACACAGGCTCAGAGGCATTGACACTATTGGGAGGTGTGGCCTTGTTAGAGGAAGTGTGTAATGGGGACGGGCTTTGAGGTCTCAGGGGCTCAAGCCAGGCCTAGTGTCTTCCTGCTGCCTGCAGATCCAGATGTAGAACTCCCAGCGCCATGTCTGCCTGTGTGCGGCCATACTTCCCGCCATGATGACAATGAACTAAACCTTTGAACTGTAAGCCAGCCCCAATGAAATGTTTTCCTTGATAAGAGTTGCTGTGTTGAGCTGGGCAGTGGTGGTGCACACCTTTAATCCCAGCACTCAGGAGGCAGAGGCAGGCAGATCTTTGTGAGTTCGAGGCCAGCCTGGTCTACAAGAGCTAGTTCCAGGACAGGCTCCAAAGCTACAGAGAAACTTTGTCTCGAAAAACCTAAATAAACAAACAAACAAACAAACAAATAAATAAATAAATAAAAGAGTTGCTGTGTCATGGTGTCTCTTCACAGCAGCAGAAAACCTCAGACACTCCCAGCTCTGGACTGGATGGGATATGAGGATATAATGTGACTGCCTGCTTCAAGTTCTTGCTACCTTGACCGTACCATAGTAACGAACTATGACCTGGAACTGCGGGCTCATGGAGACTCTTTCTCCTCTACGTCGCTTTTTGTCAGGATGTTTTAACACAGAAATAGACATGTGCCACATAGGAAGGCTCTGACTTAAACACATGAAGACACATCTGAGAATTCCCATTATATCTTTTTAAGGCCTGATGGCCCCTTCCTATGTCTTCCCATACGGAACTCACTCTCCCTGGTAACACCCAAGTGTAGCCCACACAGGCAGGCCTCTGCCAGACCATTCCCTGCCATTTCTCCCAGTGCTCACGGGTGGTACCTGGGTATTATGTTGCCAATCCAGATTTACCTTAAAATGATTTAACTTTATTTTATGTGCATTGGTATGAAGGTATCAGATCCCCTGGAACTAGAGTTATAGACAGTTGTGAGCTATCTGGGTGCTGAGAGAATAGAACCCAGGTTCCCTGGAAGAACAGTCACTGCTCCCAATCGCTGAGCCATCTCTCCAGATCCCAGATTTACCTTTTCACTGGTACGCTTCCAGAAACATCCCATAATGAAGACCACAGCCACCGGCGGCTGCAGGTAAGAGCTGATGGCTTGGATATAGATGAAAAGTTGGCCTCCCTGGCTGGCCTGCACCACGGGGATCCAGAGGATGGAGACCACCACCAGCGCAAACACAAACACCCTGTGAGGAGAGAGAGCAACGCGTCTGTCTCCTCTGAACACCTGCTTTCCTCCCTTGATCATGCAGCTTCACTGAGCCATAGTTACATGAGCTCCGTCCCTCCTAAACGTATGATACTGTGCCCTTCTCTGAATTTGCAGTCATGCGACCCAAATGACTGTCAACATTGAGCACACCCCTCATGCCAAATGTTCCCCATTGATACTTTATGCCTGCTGCCCCTGAGTAGTCATGAATGTGCTTGTTCCCTCCATGCTCGCCTTTCCTGGAGCTCCCTACAAATGCTCTCTGCCATACGGACTGTGGCCTTCAGCTGCTCACTCGGCTGCATATTGGTCTTTGAGGTCCATATCAGGGGTCACACACATCCATATTTCATACTCCCTTCCTTTCTGAGACAGGAATTTCCTGTGTAACTCAGGCTGACCTTAAATATATGATCCTCCTGTCTCATCCTCTCAAGGGCTGGGAATACATGTGTGTTCTAACTCACCGGGATATTTCATTGAGTTTTTAAAAAGTTATTGGAGCTGGGGAGATGGCCTGGTGGTTAAAAGCTCTGGCCGCTCTTCCAGGCAAAACAGTCGTACACAGTAAATAAATATTTAAAATTCTTAATTTGGGCCAGGCAGTGGAGGTGCACACCTTTAATCTCAGCACTCAGGAGGCAGAGGCAGGGAGATCTCTTTGAGTTTGAAGCCAGCCTGGTCTACAAAGTGAGTTCCTGGACTGCCAGAGCTGTTACACAGAGAAACCCTGTCTGAAAAAAAGAATCTTAATTTGTAGGGAGCATTCAGGGTGGATAACCCTCACACGGAGGTCAGAGAACTTATGGGAATTGGTTCTCTTCTTCCCCCATGTGGTACCTGAGTATCAAACGTAGGTCATCAAGCTTGATTGTAAGCATCCTTACCAGTTGAGCCATCTCACCTGACCATTTCATTGCTTCTGAAAAGTATATCACGAACACACCACTTCTTCCTATTGATTGTCTTTCACCAGTTGATGACAGAATTCCTGCACCCTTCTTTGCAATAGCAAACTACTTCTATAAACATCTGGATACAGTAAACTACTTCTATAAACATCTGGATACAGTAAACTACTTCTATAAACATCTGGATACAGTAAACTACTTCTATAAACATTGATACAGTAAACTACTATAAACATCTGGATACAGTAAACTACTTCTATAGACATCTGGATACAGTAAACTACTATAAACATCTGGATACAGTAAACTACTTCTATAAACATCTGGATACAGTAAACTACTTCTATAAACATCTGGGTGCAGTAAACTACTGTAAACATCTGGATACAACAAACTACTTCTGTAAACATCTGGATACAGCAAACTACTTCTATAAACATCTGGGTATAGGTCTTTGGAACATACACTCTCATTTCTAGGAATGGGAACTGTTGAACCATGTAGTAAGTTTATGCTTTGTGTTTTAAGAAGCTGTGGAATTGTTTTTAAATAGGACCATTCATAATTTCATCTGTACTATATAGGAGTTCTAGTCTCTTCCCTTTCTTGTCTCTTTTTGTTTAAAATTTTTTTTGTTTTGTTTTGAGACAGGGCTTCACTATGTAACTCAGACCAATCTAGAAGGCAGGCACACACCTTTAATCACAGCACTTCGGAGGCAGAGGCTGGCGGATTTCTGGATCTCTGAGTTCAAGGCCAGCCTGGTCTACAAGATCTAGTTTCAGGACAGGCCCCAAAGCTATAGAGAAACCCTGTCTCAAAACAAAACAAAACAAAACAAAAACCAAAAAAATAAAAAACAAACAAAAAAAACAAAATAAAAACATGAGGACAGCTAGAACTTGCTATGTGGTCCAGGCTGGTCTCACACTCAAGGTCTTTCTGCATCAGCTTTCCAAGAGCGGGGGCGATAGGCATGCACCACTATGCCTGGCTGCTACTGGCATTCTAGTGGGATGAAGTGATATCTCATATAATAAATGATGCTGAGAATCTTGTCCCAGGCTCATAGTCATTTCTATATCTTCATTAGTGAGATGTTCATTCAGCTGTTTTGGTGGTTGGTCATACTATATTCCAAGAATTCTTTATAGTTTGTAGATTACACATTCTTAAGCATGCAATGTGACTTGCAAATATTCTCTCCAGTCTGCGACTTATCTTTATATCTCTTTAATGGTGCTTTTCAAGTGATCAAGTACAGCGCATCTGGCTTTTCTTTAGTGGGTTAACATTCAGGGTCATGTCTAAGTCCTCTCTCTCTCTGACCCATGACTGAGACTTCTCTCTACATGGATCTTTTTGTGTGGCGGGACCCCAAGGAGCAGCTTGCTTGTGTCTATTTTCCATTACGTTTTCATGACACTCACTTCTGCTTTCCTACTAGACTTCAGGGCTTTGTGGGAGTCTTGGAATAGAAATCACCATCCCCCAGTCTTATCCAGCTACTCCCTACCACCCCCAGATCGCAACCCAGATTGGTGCTTCCTGTCTGAAAGTCTAGGTCCCCTGATTCCCAGTCGGAACACTCATCAGGGCTTTACGCATCTGCTTGACTTCTTCCCAACCTCTAGCATCGTGCCTACAGGTGCACATCTTTTGGTGCTGTGCTCCAGTACTGGAGGACTGTTTTTAAATGCTGGAGCATCTTTAGGTAGTGTTTTAAGTACTGGAACACAGCAGGTGTTCACAGAGTGTCTCCTGAATGAGCGACTAACTCATGCAGCATCAACGGCAGAGGCCGAGCAAGCTCGGGCACATTGACTTTGCCTGTCTGTGAGCTCAGTTCCCTCTTTGCTAGGTATCTGGGCTTTTCGCTTTCCGAGTCCCTACTCTATATGGCCTTACCTGCCCACAATCATGAGCTCCCTTTCAGATGCCCGTGGCCGGATGTGGGTCCACAGGTCCATGGTGAAGATGGTGCTGGAACTGTTAAATATGGAGGTGAGGGAGGACATGAGAGCCGCCACCATCACAGCCATCATGAGCCCACGGAGTCCTGGGAGGCAGAAGGGAGGTCTATAGGCCTTGGGCTTTCTGTTGACAGCTTCTGCCTTCTCTTGTGACCCTGCCATCCCAGGCCTAAAGCTAGCTGATCCTGATGGCTCAGCTCTGAAGTAGACCCTCTGGTGGGATAGTCAGACAAGACTTTGTAGCCTCCCAAAATCTAGTCTTTGGGGTGCCCATAGCTCTTACATCTTGTCCCTACCTCAGATCAGCACCCAAACAATAGCCTCCTTTTTAGGTGGTTCAGGGGACTAAGTATAGGGGTGAGGGGACATTACCTGTGGGCAAAAGTTCCAGCACAAGTTTGGGATATGCGATGTCTGAACAGCCAGAGGGATTGCTACAGACCTGCTGGCAGATGTCAGGATGAGCACAGGCCACTTGATCTATGGAGGAAATGTAAGCCCAGAGTGAGGCAGACAGGCCCTGGGCCCAGGCCTGGCTACCGTGTGCCAGAACCAGACCGGCACCCAAAGAAGGGTCTATGAGCCTAGAGCTGAGAGAAATAGAAAGGAGCTCAACCCCAAGCCCCTTCAGCTTTCTGGGCTCCTGGTGCCGGTCTGTAGAGCGGTGGGGGGAGGGGTGATGACATAACCATCTCGTAACATTAGCGTGGCTGTTCTCTGAAACTATCCTGCTAAGACACAGTTTCACACGATCAGAACGACAGGGCTGGCAAGGCTGACAACCCGTTCGATCCCCAGGGCCCATGTGGCCGAAGGAGAGAATTAAAGCCCACATGTTCTCTCTGACCTCTGCATGGGTTCCATGAGGCATGCACACACACACCACCCCCACCTCCACGCAGTTCAGAAGTAAAGGAAGGGCTAGCAAGCCCAGCAACCTTAGTCCGATCCTAATGTGCCACTTTATAGGGGAGAAGCGGCTCCTGCCAGTTGTCCTCTGACTTCACACAGGTGACAGGGCACACTGGCATACATATGTGCGCACGCGCACACACACACACACACACACACACACACACACACACACACTAAAATAATTATTAAAAATAAGGCAATGGAAAAAGAACATAACAATTGGCTGAGGTCATGCATATTAAAACTTCAGCGTCCAAGTATGATCACACAGGACATAGCAACAACACATCACCTCTGCCATTGAACCCTATGGAGCCATGACACCTAACAGCCAGTCATAGCTGGAGCCTTCCCTCAGACTTCACCTTCTCAGCTGCCGCAGGGGGACAGGGACTCACACCTGTGGTGAAGTTCCTCCGTGACACTTTTTAAGAAACACTTAACTTTTTTCTTCTCGGTGTTGGATCTAGACCTCGGGGCTTTGGGCACAGCGGCTGTCCGCTCTACTGCTGCTGAGCTGCACCCCAGCCTTGTTGGTGCTTTCCCACCCCTCCTTCCCTGCCTCCCTCAGCTGCTCAGGGGGTTCAGGGGCCGCTGCTCAGTTTAGATTCAAGCTCACTGTGAGCTTCAAACTCTAAGTATCTCTTCTCTCTTTAAAAAAAATTGTATTTTTAAATTATATGTCCATGCATGCATCTGTATATAGGCTTATGCTCATGAATGTCAGTGTTCACAGAGGCCAGCAAGGGTCCCAGCCTGGGTGCTGGGAACTGAACTCAGGTCCTCTGGAAGCACATTAGTAGCCACCTCTCCAGTCCCCTCTTTTCCCTCCCTAGTGCTTCTCTGATTTCTACCCACCCTGGTTCTCTCGTTGGTCTCCACAGTGTGCCTTGCTGTGGCTAGGGCGTGGTTTGGATTCATGTGTTGGGAGTTTTGGTCCTTAACGTGGCAATATTGGGAGATGGTGGGCTCTTTAAGAGGTGGAGCTTAGTAGGAGGCCCTTAGGTCATTGGGATGTGTCCCTCAGAAGGGGTTTTAAGATTGGGCTCTGGAGATGGCTCAGTGAGTAAAATGTTTGCTGAACAAGCATGGGAACCTGAGTTGAGCTCCCAGCACCCATATGCAAAATGTGGCTCAGTGGCACACACTGGTAATGCCAGGGTAGGAGTAAGGACTAGGGAAGCAGATGAGGCGATCGCTGGAGCTTGCTGGCCAGCCGACCTAGCCAAATCAGTGAGCTCCAGGTTCTCTGGGAGACCCTGTCTTTACTAAAAATAAGGCAGTAGTTGAGGAAGACACACCATATCAACTTTTGGCCACCACATGTACATGCACACATATGTACGTGTGCCTGCACACATGCAAAACTATATGCACCATATGCCACATATATACGTGCCCCACACACCCCTTAGAAAAATCAAGAGCTTTTGAGGAAACCAGTGGATAAGAAAACACTCAACATTCTCACTGCTGGGGCACAGAAGCCTCTCATTGCTGAAGTTCAAACCTGTGCGCTTTGTTCTGTTCTGGGGAGACTCCCCTTCTCCATGCAGACTGGGAAGGAGCAGGGTCCTCTCAGACAGTTAGTTCATCATTAACTATGAAGGGTTTTTCCTACTAAGGATTTTCCTACCCTTCAAGTATGGGGCACGTGACTGGAGCAAAGTTTACAAATCGCGCCCAGTGAAGAACACGGTGTTCTTCCTGTGGTCTGTCCGGGATCGGGGAAGTGGCCTGTCGGTAAAGTGCTTACTCCACAGCATGAGGACGGAGCTGGGTGCCCAGCACCCATTAAAGCTGAGCACAGTGCAGGTCTGTAATCCAAGTGCCGAGGAAGTGGAGACAGGCGGATCCCTGGGACTCAGTACCCCCTAGTTTAGCTGAATCAGTGAGTACCACGGTCAGTAAAGCCATTTCACAAAGTAAAGTAGAGAGGGCTAGAGATCAACCGCTGCTGTGCACACGCGTCTTCACACACACACACACACACACACACACACACACACACACACACACAGAGAGAGAGATTGTTCACCTTGGTGAAATTAATTGGTTCAACTAAGTTTTAATTGACTCCAGAGACCCTGCGATAATTAACACACTCTTCAATAGCATTGCTACCTGTTAGTTAGCCAACTATGTATACATAACAAGTTCACTTGGCATAGAGTTCACTCCCACCCATCTTACAGATGAAGAAACAAAGGAAACAGAGGTTAAATGATGTACCTAAGGCCACATCGCTCCTGAGCGGCAGAGCTGAGTGAGGTTCAAGCATAGGCTGTCCAGAATGAAGCCCGCCATCAGCACCTGTCTATCCGCAGGACCCTTAGCAGGTCTGCAGTCAATGTGGTCGCTTTAAACCACGTCTGGTGTTATCTCTCAGGCTTTACTCAGCAGCCGTGTGCTTTCCCTCAAGTCACCAAGAAGCCAAGACCTCAGGCTTTGCCCCCCTCGTGTTTTCCCAATGCTGTGTGCCCTCTGCATGGAGGAATGACCTGTGATCCCCATCCGGGCTGAAGGGGCAAGCTTTCAGAATTCAGCACCATGGTTGGTATCCTTCCCCCCAACTCCCCCTTAATTCTTCAAGATTCTAAGTGATTTAGACCTAAGTGGACTGGTTAATGAATGGTTACGCATCCTACTCTTTTATTTTGGCTTTTCGAGACAGGGTTTCTCTGTATAGTCCTGGCTGTCCTGGAACTTACTCTGTAGACCAGGCTGGCCTCTAACTCATAGAGACCCACCTGCTTCTGTCTCTACTGGGATTAAAGGTGTGTGCACCACCTCCCGGCCATTCTATTCTTTCTTTGCATCTATAACTCAGTGGTTCTCAACCTTCCTAATGCTGTGACCCTTTAATATCATTCCTCATGTTGTGGTGACCCCCGACCATACAATTATTTCATGTCTACTTCATAACTGTAACTTTGCTAATGTTATAAGTCATAATGACGCATACTCTGTTATGTGACACAGGTTGAGAACCACTGAGATAACTTGTAGGGATAAGGGAAGGGACAATGCTTTCTGAATTATGGTCTCCTTTGAGTTAGTAACAGCCTTGGTGCTTATGGAGGAATGCTCACTGTTTAAAAGAGAAACAGATTTGTTCGGTGTGGATCACCAGCTCCTGACACCAGAGATTCCGGGTCACACTACCCTCCTAATTATTGTTTGTGCATATGTAGAAACCTCTTGTTTGCATTTGAAGAAAAATAGCTAGCCAAACATGGTGGCGCACACCGGTAATCCCAGCATTTGAGAGGCAGATGTGGGAGCATCGTAAGTCCAAGGCCAGCCTAGGCCATGTAAGATCCTGTCTCAAAAAGAAAAGTCGTGTGTGTGTGTGTGTGTGTGTGTGTGTGTGTGTGTGTTCTTGCAGGATTATTTATGTCCCCTGTCACTGGAGGCGTTCCATCAGACCAAAGTTACTAGAGCAATGAGTTTTAACCCTAAAGCATGGGCACATGACTTCTTCTGTGGGAATAAGCATGCATGTGGAGCCACATGACCTTAGACTACTTTGTGGTTGGAAGAATACAGTGGCAGGCTCCCTGTAAGCATCTGCTCCCTCGTCTTGGAATACCAGTGGGTCTTGTGTGCCGAGTCAGTGCTGGACAGCAGTGTGAAGTCAGTAGACAGATGGGGAGACCCCCATCCAGCCACCAGGCCAAGCCTTTTGTCCTGTTCTTGTGGGACAGCGAGTGCCGCATTTAGCACATTTCCTAGAGCTGAGACTTGCATACAGACAGGTGAGCGCTGCCCCCAACAGCCTCCTCACCTGGAAAGAGGACCCTGCTGACCATGCCGGGGAACACCATCAGGAAAAGGGGAAGCACTTTCAGGTACGCAGCCATCAGGGAGCCGCCTTTGGCATGAGACAGGTTCTTGGCAGCCAGACTCCGCTGAACGATCACCTGGAGCAGAGTGGAGGTGGAAGTTGAGAACGGTGTGGTTACTGGCCCTGTGTAGTTCACTGGTGGAACTGAGATCTGGGTCTGCCTACCTTCTTTATAGAAAAGCATTTCTCGCTGCTGTGAAGCAAAGGGCACGGTCAGCAAGACAAAACAGCAGCCTACAGAATGGAAAAGATCTTCACCAGCCCCATATTGGACAGAAGGCTGATCCCCAAAATATACAAAGAACTCAAGAAATTGGTCATCGAGAGAACAAATAATCCAATAAAAAATGGAGTATAGACCTAAACAGAGAACTCTCAACAGAGCAATCTAAAATGGCTGAAAGACACTTAAGGAAATGCTCAACCTCCTTAGTCATCAGAGAAATGCAAATCAAAACAACTATGAGATTCCATCTTACACCTGTAAGAATGGCCAAGATCAAAAACACTGATGACAACTTATCCTGGAGAGGTTGTAGGGTAAAGGGAACACTTCTGCATTGCTGGAGGGAGTGCAAACTGATACAGCCTCTTTGGATATCAGTATGGTAATTTCTCAGAAAATTAGGAAACAACCTTCCTCAAGACCCAGTAATACCACTTTTGGGTATGTACCCAAAGGATGCTCAACTGTATCACATGGAAATTGCTCTACTATGTTCATAACAGCACTGCTTGTCATAGCCAGAATTTGGAAACAACCTACATGCTCTTCAACTGAAGAATGGATAAGGAAAATGTAGTACATTTACACAATGGAGTACTACACAGCAGAAAAAAATGACATCTTGAATATTGCAGTCAAATGGATGGATCTAGAAAACATTACGTTGAGTGAGTGAGGTAACCCAGACCCAGAAAGACAAATATCATATGTACTCACTCATAAGTGGCTTTTAAAGATAAAGCAAAGAAAAAGCAGCCTCCAGTTCACAACCCCAGAGAACCTAGACAACAAAGAGGACCCTAAGGGAGACATACATGGATCTAATCTACATGGGACATAGAAAAAGACAAGATCTTCTGGATAAATTGGGAACATGGGGACCATGGCAGAGAATTGAAGGGGAGGGGAAAAGAAGGGAGGAGAGCGGAGAAAAATATAGAGCTCAATAAAAAAAGAGAAGTGGGGGGCTGGAGAGATGGCTCAGAGGTTAAGAGCACTGACTGCTCTTCCAGAGGTCCTGAGTTCAATACCCAGCAACCACATGGTGGCTCACAACCATCTGTAATGAGATCTGGTGCCCTCTTCTGGCCTGCAGGCATACATGCAGACAGAACACTGTATACATAATAAATAAATAAAAATATTAAAAAAAGAGAAGTGGACAAATGCAAGGGTTTAACCCTATATATTTGATGTCTGGTTATCAACAGCGTCTGAATTTCCCCCATTTTCCCCACAGCCCCCACAAAGTCTGATACTTAAGGAGACCCAGGCCTGGAGTTGTAACTCAGAAACAGACCACTTGCCCAGCGTGTGCAAGGCTCTGGTGTCGATCCATGCAGCTCCCAGATAACAATAAGTAAATGCTGACAGGAAACATAAATCCAAGGGATTCGCCCATTCTTAACTCAAAAAAGCCCTGGTCGCAACTGGGACATCATCAGTCTGTGACCTTCAGATTCTAAAAATGATAAAATTGTGTAGCAGTTGGGTGGTTCTTCCCTTTTTTAACTTTGTGTGTGTGTGTGTGTGTGTGTGTGTGTGTGTGTGTGTCTGTGTGTGTAGGTTAGAGACCAACTTTGTTCAGGTCCCTCCTCAGCCACACTCTTTCTTGCAACCCTATTTTAAATTGCATTCCCCTCACTCAGACTTCTAAATGCTGATTTGTCAACTCTTGTCTCCCCCAGGCAGTAGCAGGGTAACTCAATCAACTCCAGATTTCTCAAGCACCCAGAGGCGTGCCTGGGGTATTTGTTGAACAAATAATGTGCATTGCAAATCTTGAAATTTATCATCATCCATATGGTTGAGCTTATGACTGGTTAAGTTCCCCCTTTTGCAAAAATCAGCAGCTCCTGAATCGCCATTAGCATTTGTAAGAAGCAAAACAGCAGGCAGAGCAGAAGAGGGGGGTGGGGAGGATGAAGGAGATGGGGGGGGGGGACAGAGGAACATACACAGCCAAATCATACCACTGAAGCCAGTGAGCCCAGCAAAGAAGCATCAGGGAGTCAGTCAGCTCCCCTACCTGATCTGTGCACCAGTACCAGAGAGACGGGACGGACATTCCAAATAGGATCCCAGGCCAGGGGAGGTCAGAGGTCACTGGGTCTCTGAAGATGTGGAAGGCGTCTTCTCGGGGCAGCCCACAGCTGCTGTTCTCACTCCGGTTACTAGCCAGGGCTGAGAAGTACTGGTCCTTCAGGCCTTCCATCCCACCGACAGCTGCAAAACCTAGGATGCAGAGGAAACCTAAGGTTGCCAGGAGCTCATGGAGCCTGTCGCAAGATGGAGCCAGATGACGGTCTAGTCGGAGCAGAGCTATTGAGGAACAATGTCCCCTTAAGGGCTCTTAACCTCTGTCCTTTTTCTCTTGTGCTTTTGACAGCTACTGTAGATGGTATCTCAGAACAATTTTTAAAATGAAATTTAGTTATTTACTAGCAGAGACTTGGGTGTATCCATGTGCACAGGCCACAGTGTGTGTCAAGGTTAGATCTGAGGGCGACTTGTGGGAGCCGGTGCTCCTTCCACTGTGTGAATTCCAGGGATTGAGCTCAGGTCATCAGGCTTGGCGGCAAATATCTTTACCCATTGACTCATCTCACGGGCCCTGACTATCAGCTCTAAATACATACTACAAAGTACAGAGTGTAGGAGCAGCCATGATGTGAACAGATCACCCAAAGGAAGTTCTGTACTTCCAACCATCATCACCTGCCAGAGGAGGACTCAGCCATAGATAAGTTTAATGGAGGCCTGAGTCTCAGTAGTTTACCCTGAAGCAATACCTGGTTGCAGGAAGACCCACAAACTGAGATTACCTGAGCATCACCCAAAAACAGACCATCCAAAGGAAATGCCTAACGTTCCAACCGCTGTAGATAGGACCACCTGCCAGCACACACTCACCAGGACACTCCTAGACAAATGTCAGCCAATCAGGAGTCCTGAACCTTAGAAACCCCTCAGCCCCACCTTTACTACTGTAAAAACCCAACTCTAACTGAGCTCGGGCTCTCCGTTTATTCCGATACGTTGGACATGTGGAGAGACCGAGTTTGCAAACTTGCATAAAATAAAGGCTCTTTGTTTTTACATATGGGGCTTGGTCTGCTTGTTAGCTTTTGGAGGACTTCACGGATTTGGACATAACACAGAGGAGTGTGTGTGTGTGTGTGTGTGTGTGTGTAGAAAGCAATCATCAAACTACAAAAATGTGACACAATAATTTACCTGCTCCATTAAATAATTGGCCTAATAATAAACAATAAAATAGTAAGTCTTAGAATGGTTTAGTTATGAAGCTGCGAACACACACCACACACAGATGCCCACACTCACACAGGCATTAAAATAGCAGTGGATTGGGGACATGGCTCATGAAGACCTGAGTTTGGATCCCCAGCATCCACATAAAAGCTAGGCATGGTGGTGAACATCTGTAACCACACCACTGGGTTGGCAATAGAAGGGTTTGCTGGTCATCTAGTCTAGCCAATAGTTGAGTTACACGTACAGTGGAATATCCTGTCACAAAAAAAAGAAAGAAAAGAAAAGAAAAAGGAAAAAAGGTAGAAAGAAATTGAGGAAGACACCTAATATCAACGTCTGGCCTCCACAAATATACTCATAAGCAAGCACACCCATAGACATGTGCACATGTAACACACACATGCGCTCACGCACATGCATGCACACACATATACACAATCAACAACTCTAATGCATTTAAAAGAAACTTGGGGTATCTTTTGCAATCAAAGCCATAGGTCCTGCAAAGGTTGCTTTTGTGGGTGACCTACCTTTACAATTGGGAAATGGATAGAAATAGAAATAGGGTGTTTCTTTTATTTTATCTTTTTTTCCCCAGCCAAGTTCACAGGTGTCCTGATCTGGTCCATGGGCCTGAGGCTGGGGAAAGTGTCCTTTTGCCTCAGAACTTCTCAGCTATTCATCTGTCAGTATCACAAAAGGTGGCCTTAAGCAAGCAACTTCCTGCCTCTGCTGTCGCTTCCCCTGCTGTGGGTGGGGACTGCACAGCAGCTCCCTGAGGCCAGGGCATGGAAGAATGATGTAATCCCCACAAAATGCTTAGCATTGACTCTGCCACAACAGTTCTGAAAAACAGACTAGTAATGGCTACAGATCCTTTGTTCCTCTTCATTTGTTGAGAAGATTCAATATGGTTGGTTTTGGAAGGTGGAATTTGGGGAGGGGGTGCTTGCTTTGTTTGCTTCTCTGTAGGAGAAAAGGCATTGCTGTAAGCACGTCGGTAGGAATGACACCTATCCTCAGGATGTCTGCAGACAGGTGCACAAAGAACACGGAGAAAACAAAACCTAGCTATTAAATGTTAGATTTTTTGTTCATCTTCACTGCCCTGAAAAAATATTATTTTACTTCTGAATGATACATAATTACACATACTAATGGAAATAATACAATATTTTGATATGTATGTGTCCAGTATATAATGATTAAGCCAAGATAATTAAGCATGCCTATTATGTCAAAGAATTGTCATCTCTTTGTATTGGGGATTATTCAACAGCCTTTCTCCCAGCTATTTTGAAATATGTAATAAATTATTGCTTAACCATTATCAGCTGAAAAGTTATTTTGTGGTAGCAGTTGGGGCTGTGGTTTTTGTCAGTCACTTAAGACAGCCATGTAAAAAGCAAGTGAGGACTGGAGAGATGGTTCAGTAGTTAGGAGCACTTGCTGGTCTTCAAGAGGACCAGGGTTCGATACCCAGCACTCACAATCATCTCTAACTCCAGTCCCAGGGAATCCAGGGCCCTCTTTTGGCCTCAGCTGGTACTGCGCACGCACATGAACAGGCAAACATGCGAGCAAAACACCCAAACATATAAAAGAAATTAAAATTTTTTTTGAGAAGCAAGTGAGCTTGAATAGATAAAGCACAGCAAATATAACAGTTGGTATAGAATTAGAATAGGAGCTTCCTAACGCAACATGAATCACTTGGTGATCCCTGAAGAACAGACCATGGGCCAGAGGGATGGCTAGGGGCTGGGATTCTGTCTGATTTCTGAAGTGAGGACCCCAGCTCAGCAGATCGGCTGGGGGCTGGGATTCCTTTCATGAGCTCCAGGGTGATGCTGTGTTGCCATCCATGAAGTGCACTCTGAGTAGCAAGAGTGCAGATGCTGTCAGGGTACCAAACGAAGTTTCACCTTGACAAAGGATAAGGCTTTTGAACTTTAGTCTGTATCTACTCAACTCCTTTCCAGGTCATTTTTCCAGATCTTTAGACAGCCGATCATATCAGTAACTATAAATAATAATTTTGTCTCATTGATTTCAATAGATCTATCTTAGATAAGAATGTTCCTTTTCGATGGATATGGGAGCAGGGAAGTATATATCTCAACTAAGGGAACCATTTTAGGGTTTGCAAGAGACTTGATTCAGGAGGGGTTCCCAGGCCCAAGGAGAGGTCCCCAGATTGTTCCCTGGGCAGCAAAGAAGAGGGTGCCTGAACTGGTCTTGGCCCATAACCACACTGATGAATATTTTGCATATCACCATAGAACCTTCATCTGGCGATGGATGGAGATAGAGACAGAGACACATATTGGAGCACTGGACTTAACTCCCTAGGTCCAAATGAGAAGCAGAAGGAGGGAGAACGTGAGCAAGAAAGGCAGGACCAGAGGGAACCTTCATCTGATGATAGATGGAGATAGAGACGGAGACCCACATTGGAGCACTGGACTGAGCCTGCAAGGTCCAAATGAGGAGCAGAAGGAGGGAGACCATGAAAAAGGAAATCAGGACCACGAGGGGTGTGTTCACCCTCTGATACAAGGGGACTGATCGAATGAGAGCTCACCAAGGCCAGCTGGACTGGGACTGAACGAGCATGTGATCAAACCGGAGTCTCTGAATGTGGCTGACATGGGGGCTGACTGAGAAGCCACTGACAATGGCACTGGGTCTTGTTTTGTCTGCATGTACTGGCTTTTTGGGATCCTAGTCTGGTTGGATGCTCACCTTCCTAGACCTGGAGGGAGAGGGGAGGAACTTGAACTTCCCACAGGGCAGGAAACCCTGACTGCTCTTAGGACTGGAGAGGGAGGAGGAGAGGGAGTTGGGGGAATGGGAGGGTATGGGGAGGAGGGGAGGAAGTGGAAATTTTTATAAACAAATAAATAAATAAATTTGAAAAAAAAAAGAATGTTCCTTTTCCTAGGATGGCTTCTGATGTCAAGTGTTCTGGCTACTTCTTTAGACACTGGACTATTGAGGTTTTCTACTTTCTCTTGAATCAAATTTAATGTTATGCTCTGTATATGAGCAAAGCAAGGTGGCCGTCTCTCGCCCTGCTGTTTCCTGTCATCTGCCTGCTTCCTGGCTATAATGATGTAAACTTGTGTTCCACGGGGCCCTCCCCACAATAACAGACTGATATCTCTGAAACTGTGAGCCAGATTTGCGAAACAAATCTTTCCTGTTTCCAAGTTGTTCATGTCAGGCATTCTATTACAGCTATGAGGAAGCTAACACAGACGTTTAAAAAGAAACAAATTCTGAAGACGCAGACTCCATCACAGCAGAGATAATGCCCAAGGCATCCGAAGCTGAAGGTGAACAAAAGGCAACCAGAGAAGTCACTGAAAAATCTAAACTCCAGCTCAGCCCCTAACCAGATTGGCCCTTCTATTAGCAACTTGGCCAAAGAGCTATGCTTGTATTCAAACATAACTTCAAATTACCCCAATCTCTACTGTCTTATGGATTATATCCAAGAAAATCATGAGGTACCCAAGAAAGAAAGAAAAATGATCTACTGTCATGAAACAAAGTCATAAAGGCAAACTGATAGGTGCCCCAGATGTTGCAACTGTCAGATAGGAAATGAAAAATAACTGATTAATAGGTTATATAGGCTGTAGTGGGAACATGGGCGATATTCATGACTAGATGGACAATCTCAGTGAAGAGATACACGAGGAAGGACTGAATGGGACTGGGGGGGCTTAGTTCAGTGGTAGAGTGTATGCTTAGCCAACATACGAAGGTGGGTTTACTCCCTGTGAGCTGAAAAATGAAGGAGAAGGAAGGAAAGGGGGGAAGAAGAGGGAAGAAAAGATGGAAGGATGTAATGGGGATGGTAACAGATATGACAAATCTCTCATCAGTCAATGCATTAGCAGACAACACAGCCAAAGAAGCCATCGACAAGCTGGAAAACCGGAGAATAGAAATAACTCATAGTGAAATACAAAAGAAAAGAGGCTGTGAGGTGCTGTGATACAGGGGATTTGGTGACCCTGGAGTTCCAAGAGTAAAAGGCACTAGCCAGGTGTGGTGATGCATGCCTGAGACAGAGGCAGGGGGTCCATGCGAGATGGAAGTCAGTGTGGTCCACACAGCAAGCCCAGGATAGCCAGGATTTAGATTACAATTCTCCAAATCTCAGGAGTAACCAATCAATCAGGACAAACACAACCCCCATTTCCATCTATCATACTAGAAAGGCTGAAAATGAAAGGTAAAGGGACCGGGCACAGTGGTTCATGCCTGTAGTTCCTGTACTGGTGGTGGGGTGGGGAGAGTAGGGGGAGAAGGAGGAGGGTCAGAAGTTCAGGGTCAGCCTCAGCGACACTGTGAGAAAAAAGGCAAAAGGTGTTAAAAGTTATAAATAAAAAAGATGAAGCAGAATCATTTCCTTCAAGGCAACCGAAGTAGGGGGTGGTACTCGGGGTAACAGAGAACTAAAAATGAGAATTGCAGACCCCCCCACTGCGGTACAGGGGCAGCAGAGGCTCCTCTAACATACTGGGGAGACAAACCACAGTCAAGGTTTTTGTATCCAGCGAAGGCATTTTTCAAAAGCAATCAATAAACAGGGACATTTTCAGACAGACAAAGATTTACTACGAGAAGAAGAGAAAATAGAAGTGGATTTTTTTCTCCTTTTTCACAGGATTGTAGAAGAATCTGGCTAAAAGCTAGCAAGTGGTTTTTGTCATTTGAATCATGAAACAAGTGTATTATTCTGTGATTATTTCTTTGAAATCTCAATTGAAAGTCGAAAGTGACATATATCCAAAACACAGACATGTACCCCGAACAATGCTAAAAGCCAAATACTTCCTGTGCCTTTGGCACCCACTCCTTGGCATCTCCACAAATGTTACCATTTTCACTGCCAACGGCCAGATGATTGAGGTTCGAGGTCTGAAGCCACTTACCAAACTTTTTGTTTGTTTTCACAATAGTACATCTCTTTATGTTGTCCAAGTTGACCTTGAACACCTAGACTCAACCCATCTTCAGTTTCTCAAGTACCTGGACTTCATGCATGTGTCACCCCACCTGACTACCGTCTTACTCTACCAGCCGGGTTGTTTAGCAGTTACACTTTGAGTTTTGCAATCTAAGAGAGGAGCAGGTTAGGGAGAAGGCTCAGGAGCTAAGGCACTTGTCATGCAAGTATGAGGACCAGAGAGCAGATGCCCAGAACCCATGGATGAACGAGTTGGGTGTGACAACCATCTGTATTACATCATGTAATAGGTGGAGACCAACTCTCCATGGCAAGCTGACTAGCCATGCAAGAATTGATGAGTTCATGTGGAGAGATGAAGACACAAGACACCCAATGTCAACCTTGACCTCTACATGCAAGTACATACACCCCTACATATGTGCTCACACAGAAGCAAATATGCAAATATACATGCGTGCACCACACATACACACACACACCCCAGAGAGAGAGAGAGAGAGAGAGAGAGAGAGAGAGAGAGAGAGAGA